TTGTATTAATGATTGCACAGACTCCACCTAGGCCTATGAGGAGGAAGTGTAGGGCAATTTCATTACACATAACAACCTTGGCCATTGAGTTGAAGCTGATCTGAATACAGAGCCAAGATGATATCATTGATCATTTCAGCTAAACTCAGGAACAGATTTCTAACTGGATGACTCCCATTATAGGAAAAACTGCTTGTAGGATGAATATAAATAACGAGCCAGTTATCCCTTTGGAAGCTCCTCAGAGCAACTAAGGGAAGTCTTATTTTGGAGAGATATCTTCAGTCATCTGAGGGCTACGTGATCTATTAGTGATATTTCCTTAAATATTTTAAAGTCTCTTGCACCTTTGGGTGCAAGTCCCTTGTGAAAGGCAAGTTAATGTTTGGCTTCCGTGCAAGAAGTGCAGTCCTGGGGACACACATGGTAGCCCTGGAAAAAACGTATTGTTTACAATTGTTGCTTCAGGTGGCAGAGTGGGGATAAAGTTTCCCCCAGAGGAATAGCTAGCACTTTTTCATGTATAAGCTGAGGTGTAGCTAGGGCTCAGCCAGCAATAGGCTTGAATATACTATTTCTATCTGACAAGTGAGGCTTGTTTGGCCTTTTGCACTGTGTTAGTCATTAAGTCTGAGTTGACCCAACCTCAAAATGGGAATATCAGGTCAGAGAGTCACAAGACCTCCATGGGTCAGAAGTTCAGTTTTGACAAGATCCTAATGGCAAGATAATAGCTGCTTTTCAGACAGAATATACGTGGTATCTGTGTCAGGGAGGCAAGGAGTCCAAATCCCTAGGAGACACCTATGGGTGCAGGCTGCCTACCTTTGCTTGAGGCTCCAGTAGGCAAAATCATCAGTCACAGAGCCCTGCAGCTCAATAGGTTCATTAGGGTGGCAGAGCTCCAAAGGTAGAGAGTGTGCCACAGCTTTTTGATTCCTTAGTCTCAGTTGCTGAGTTGGGTAGAGAGACAGGGCGAGGATATTTTCCTTCTTCTAGAGGCCTCAGGCCAAGTGATAAGATACAGAGAACCAAGACCAAAATGGGACCCTAGAAAAGGGCATGGTGCTAGCAGCTTAGGCCACTTCTGGCTTAGGTTTTAAGTAAGGTACAAAATAAATCATTGAGCTTATTTCAAGTCCAGAGCTTCAGAGTTGAAGAAAATATGTGCATTGGGGCCCAATGTCCCAGCCAGGAAGAGATAAGATTGTGTCATTTGCCTGGAGTGTCTGCTATACCTCTCTTTCCTGGAGACACCAGGAAAAAGAATCATCTCAGTCAAACTTTTTCTTTAGAGTGTGGATTTATGCAATAATTTTTTTAAATTGTAAAAATATCATATATGTGTTTCCAGAAGAGAAAGAACGTTCTACAGACTGCATTTTGGAAATGCATTAGTGAGCCTCTTGCTCATGTTAGACCTTTTAATTTCTATTAAATGGTATTTCAGTTATAAAAATGCTTTCATCCTTCTTCCTTTGAATTGTTCAGAAGTTTACTGGTGTATTATTTAAATGGCTTTCATAAAATATTTTTGCGGATTATCAACCTTGTTCACCAGCCAAAAGGTACACACAATCAATTTCTAGACAAGCAATGTTGTTGTCATACTATTTCCCATGTTACTCTTGTCAGAGACGATCCTGTTCCTGCCCATCCCCATTCCATTATCCACCCTGCAACCCAAGTCACCTTTTTAAATATATAGTTGATCATTTTACTTGCCTACTTAAAATCCTTCAATGACTTCATGTCAACGCAAGGATTAGACTTCAGCTCCTGGCATGGAGTGACTGGCCGTTGTTCACCTTTTCAGCTTATGTGCTACTATGGTGCCTAATGCTAAACTTTCTCCTGTTAACTCAATATACAACCAAGACGTCTGAAATGGAGTTTGACTTGTGACAATGTGATACTAATTTATGTTTCTATGTTTTAAATGGAGAAAATAGAGATGATTCGGAGATCATTTGAAATGATTCAAAAGTCTGCAAAAAGGAACCTATAATAAAAATGATTGTATTTTTAGAACTGAATACAGGACATATACCCTGAAAAAGAAATTTTTTTCTGTTTTTTTTGTATACTTTTTTATAAAAAGTATTGGTAAGGTATAACATTATTGTTTGAAACAAATATCTTTTATTAAAATGGCGAGAAATTGTGATTGTCTTTCCTAGGAAATTCAAGATCTATGATTATGAACCCTGAGGAAAGTTTAATGATTTAAGGCAATTTAGCCTTGTTGGAAGTTAAAAAACTTGATTTGATAAGGATTTATCAAAATAAATTTATAAAATGCAGATGTGTTCTAGGATTTTTTAATTAGGACTTAACTAATTTAGATGTTCCTTATAGTTAGCCTAATAAATCTATAATTCCTAAGTTCATGTGGAATTTTATGAGGTTCCAAATTTCAAGGTGTAATATAGCTTTCAATTTTTAAAATAACTCAATTGATTCTTTTAAAGTGTTTTTAAATGTGTAATACACTCACATGTTTCAAAATCAAAATATATAAAAGCTTCTACAATGAAATCTCTCTCTACCCTGGGTTCCATCTGCTCAGTCCCCTTTTCCCAGGCCACAGTCAGGAAATCAGGAATATTAGTTTCTTGTGTCTTTCCAGAGTTCCTTTATGTATATACAAGTAAATACAAATATGTATTTTAATTTTTATCCATTTCTAATGAAATGGTAGTATAATATATACATGGTCTCCTACACCCTGTGTTGACGTGTTTTCTGCAGAGAAAATTCAGGAACTAAATTATAAATGGAGGGTTTCATGGAAGTATTAAAGATTTCTGGGATATGTGTTCCTAACATGCACTTATCTGCTTAAAGATTATCCAAGGCAAATACTGAATCTGAGGTTGGACTCCCCAACCCCTGTGCAGGCTTCTAAGACTTTCTCCCCTCCCACCAACTTGCTTACAGTTCTTGAGTAGAGATTAAGTCTAATATTAGGCTACAGAAACAAAATTGAAAAGGTAAAACTACAACTAAGAACAGCGGGCCGGCCCCTTGGCTTAGCGGTTAAGTGTGCGCGCTCCGCTGCTGGCGGCCCGGGTTCGGATCCTGGGCGCGCACCGATGCACCGCTTCTCCGGCCATGCTGAGGCCGCGTCCCACAT